ATGGACACCGGTCAATAATGGCAGTCCATCGCCTCCTGCAGGGGAATCTCAACCACTGCGCGCGCGCCCAAGATCTGCTTCTGCAGAGCGCGGCGCAGTGGGGAGTTGACCTTGCAGTGGTCGCCGAACCATATCGTGTCCCACGAAGTGACCATTGGTTCGGCGACCCCTCTGGCCTGGTGGCCATTGTCGGCGCGGGCAACCCCGCGACCCCGCTCGTCAGCCGCCTATTCGGCGGAGCGGGGTACATAGGTGTGAGTTGGGGGGAAACCGTCGTTGTCGGGACATACTTCTCTCCGAACAGGACTCTCGCCGAGTTCGAGCAGTTCATGGACGGGCTGGGGGCCGCTATGGAGCTATACTCGGCCCGTCCAATGATGGTGATGGGGGACTTCAATGCCAAATCCACGGCATGGGGCTCCCCCATCACCGACTCTCGAGGCAGAGTCCTGGAAGACTGGGCGGCCGCGGCCGGCCTGGTGGTGTTGAACCGAGGGTCGGCCGCCACGTGCGTGAGACAGCAGGGGGAGTCGCATGTCGACGTATCCCTCTGCAGTCCAGCGATCGCACAGAGGGTGCGGAGCTGGCAGGTGTTGGATGAGGTGGAGACTCTATCCGATCATCGGTATATCCGGATAGATGTTCTCCCCTCACCCGTAGCTCCGCATCCCGGTCGCCAGGAGAGGAATGTCCCACAACTCCCCAGATGGGTGTTGAAACGTCTGAATAAAGACGTGCTGATGGAGGCTTCCATCGTCCAGGCCTGGGTTCCGATACCGGAGGGGCCTGTGGAGGTCGACGCAGAGGTGGGCTGGTTCGGTGAGGCTCTGTCGCACATTTGCGACGCGGCGATGCCCCGAGCCGGCCCTCGACCTCCTAGGCGTCAGGTGTACTGGTGGTCGGAGGAGATAGCGGCGTTGAGGGAGGAGTGCTCCGCCGCCCGCCGCCGGTACACCAGGCACCGCCGACTCAGGCGGGGCCGCGACGCCGACGAGGAAGCACAGCTGTACGAGCAGTACAAAGAGAGGAAGAAAGCTCTGCAGCTGTCCATCAGCAGGGCCAAGGAGACAGCCAGGGAAGAACTCCTGGAGACCCTGGACAGGGATCCATGGGGGCGTCCTTATAGGTTCGTCAGGGGCAAATTACGCCCCTGGGCGCCCCCCGTGGCAGAGGGTCTCCAGCCGCAGCAGTTGGAGGAGGTGTTGGAGGAGCTGTTCCCGAGACAGCCTCCCGTCACACCTCCTCCGATGATGCCGCGTGGCAGTGATGGAGAGGCCAGCGGCGTCAGCGCTGCTGCGGTTCCCGCCATCACCGTGGAGGAGTTCGCCGCGGCCGTGGATAAACTCCGGGGCAAGAATGTCGCCCCGGGTCCGGATGGTATCCACGGCCGCGTCCTGGCCTTGGCCCTAAACACCCTAGGGGACCGACTCCGGCGCTTGTTCAATGCGTGCCTGGAGTCGGGACGGTTTCCCAATCAGTGGAAAGCGGGTAGAGTGGTCCTGCTCCGCAAAGCGGAGCACCCCGCAGGTTCGGTGGTTCCCTCGGCGTTCCGCCCCATAGTGCTGTTGGACGAGATCGGCAAGCTCTTCGAGAGAATCTTGGCGGGCCGACTCGTCCAACACCTGTCTCAGGTAGGTCCCGATCTCAGCCCGAAGCAGTTCGGATTCCGAGAGGGGCGCTCGACGATCGACGCGATCTCGCGTGTGCGCTCCCTCTCGGAAGAGGCGACGTCCCAGGGTGGGGTGTTGTTGGCGGTCTCGTTGGACATAAAGAACGCCTTCAACACCCTGCCCTTTGCGACTATTAGGGAGGCGCTGCAGTACCATCGCGCGCCTCCCTACATTCGGGACGTGATCGGGGCCTATCTCGAAGACAGGTCTGTGCTCTGCACGGGGCGGAACGGCGTTGTAGTGTCGAGGGAAAGGCAACGCGGTGTTCCACAGGGATCGGTTCTGGGCCCGATCCTGTGGAACATCGGGTATGATTGGAACCTGCGGGGCGCCCTTTTCACGGGCACTGACCTCGTGTGTTACGCGGATGACACCTTGGTCACTGCCCGGGGGCGGGACCTACGGGAAGCTACCCGCTTTGCCACGGCAAGCGTGGCACTGGTCGTCGGCCGAATAAGGAGGCTTGGGCTCCAGGTGGCGCTGGAGAAGACCGAGGTCCTATGTTTTCATGGGCCTCGGCGCGCGCCACCTCCGGATGCCCAGCTGGTCGTCAGTGGCCAGAGGGTGGGGGTCAAGCCCTGTATTAGGTATTTGGGGCTTGACCTGGACAGTCGTTGGAGCTTCCGCGCTCACTTTCGGAACCTGGTCCCTCGCCTTATGGCAGCCGCCGGCGCTCTTAGCTGGCTGCTGCCAAACGTGAGGGGCCCGGGAGAAGGTTCCCGCCGCCTATACCTCGGCGTGGTGCGGTCCACGGCCCTGTACGGGGCCCCCATCTGGGTGGGGGCCCTTGGTAGGGAAAATGTGGCCTGTCTCAACAGGCCACACAGGGTCATGGCCATACGGGCCATAAGAGGCTACCGCACCATATCCGGGGAAGCGGCGGGTCTGCTGGCGGGGTCTCCTCCGTGGGACTTGGTAGCGGAGCTCCACGCGTCAGTGTATCACTGGCGCGCGGAGCGACGTTCCATGGGGGAGGCACCCGCTGGCCATGAGATTGGAGCGCGGAGGTCCGACTTTCGGCGGATCCTCAGGATCAGGTGGAGAGAAAGGCTGGCCAGTCCATCGGCCGGCCTGAGGACCGTCGAGGCTGTCCGTCCCATCCTCAAAAGATGGATGAATAGGAGATGGCCACTGACGTACCGCATGACACAGATACTGTCCGGGCACGGGTGCTTCGGGCGGTATCTGTGTCATGTGGCGAGGAAGGAGCCGACGACCGGCTGCCACGAGTGCGGAGGTGTGGAGGACACGGCGCAACACACGCTGGACGAATGTCCAGCGTTCGAGAGTGAGCGCCGTGTCCTCACACGAATAGTGGGGGACGATCTCTCGCTGCCGAATTTAGTTCGGAGGATGATCAGTAGCGAGAGATCGTGGCTGGCGGTGAGCTCCTTCTGCGAGGAAGTTATCTCGCGGAAGGAGGCGGCGGAAAGGAGCGGGAGTCAGATCGTCCCGCTTCCCTCCGCCGCAGAAGAGCCAGGCCTAGAGGTGGGGGCGTACCCAACTCCGCCCCCCTCTATCCCCCACTGGGGCCGGGGTGACTGCCTTGAGGGAGGCAGTCCCCCAATCCAAAGGCCCCGGAGGTGTGCGCGTGTACCCACACGCCTCCACAATGGAGTAGGGCGAAATAGGTCGCCCTAACCACAAAACGAGATGGGGCCTGCCCTACAACATCTACAGGGCGGGCCGTCGCCGTCGGAGCTGGGGTAGAATGCACTTGCGAATCCCTGGCTCCGGCATAGGCGCTCGTAGGTACACCGTGTGGTTTTTAGTGAGTCAAGTCTCACACACCACCTCGCCATCCCTCCGGCGGGGTGACGGTCTTTTTAAGATTTTCCACACGTTAAAAAAAAAAAAAAAAAAAGGTTAGGTTAGGTTAGGTTAGGTTAGGTTAGGTTAGGTTAGGTTAGGTTAGGTTAGGTTAGGTTAGGTTAGGTTAGGTTAGGTTAGGTTAGGTTAGGTTAGGTTAGGTTAGGTTAGGTTAGGTTAGGTTAGGTTAGGTTAGGTTAGGTTAGGTTAGGTTAGGTTAGGTTAGGTTAGGTTAGGTTAGGTTAGGTTAGGTTAGGTTAGGTTAGGTTAGGTTTGGTTAGGTTAGGTTAGGTTAGGTTAGGTTAGGTTAGGTTAGGTTAGGTTAGGTTAGGTTAGGTTAGGTTAGGTTAGGTTAGGTTAGGTTAGGTTTGGTTAGGTTAGGTTAGGTTAGGTTAGGTTAGGTTAGGTTAGGTTAGGTTAGGTTAGGTTAGGTTAGGTTAGGTTAGGTTAGGTTAGGTTAGGTTAGGTTAGTTAGTTAGGTTGGTTAGGTTAGGTTGGTTAGGTTAGGTTAGGTTAGTGTTGGTTAGGTTGTGTTAGTGTTAGGTTAGGTTAGGTTAGGTTGTGTTGGTTAGGTTAGGTTGTGTTAGGTTAGGTTAGGTTGGTTAGGTTAGGTTAGGTTGTGTTGGTTAGGTTAGGTTAGGTTAGGTTAGGTTGTGTTAGGTTGGTTGGTTGTGTTAGGTGTGTGTGTTGGTTGGTTGTGTTAGGTTAGGTTAGGTTAGTGTTAGTGTTAGGTTAGGTTAGTGTTAGTGTTGGTTGGTTGGTTGGTTAGGTTGGTTAGGTTGTGTTAGGTTAGGTTAGGTTAGGTTAGGTTAGGTTAGGTTAGGTTAGGTTAGGTTAGGTTAGGTTAGGTTAGGTTGGTTAGGTTAGGTTAGGTTAGGTTAGGTTAGGTTAGGTTTGGTTAGGTTAGGTTAGGTTAGGTTAGGTTAGGTTAGGTTAGGTTAGGTTAGGTTAGGTTAGGTTAGGTTAGGTTAGGTTAGGTTAGGTTGGTTAGGTTAGGTTGGTTAGGTTAGGTTAGGTTAGGTTAGGTTAGGTTAGGTTAGGTTAGGTTAGGTTAGGTTAGGTTAGGTTAGGTTAGGTTAGGTTTTTTTTTTTTTTAAATTGAGAGTCTGTTTAATGTACTCTTATGCCTTAGCGTTTGCGCTTTTGGTTTACGCTCGCTTCAGCAGAGTTGGAACGGATTTTTTTCAACTTATGTTTTTATTAGGTGTAAAATTGAATTCGCTTGTTGTAATATATACATTTTTAAAGATATATAACATTATTGGTATAATAAAACAAATTTAAAGAAGTAACAACAAAATAAAAATTAACGAAGACAAAACAATATGAAACAAGTAAAGTAACAAAACAAAACGACAATAGATGTAAAACGAAACAAATGAAAGATTAAACAAAATAACAAAACGAAGAAAAAAGAAAACAAAATAAAGACGTTGGTGGTTTGGATGACGATGGTATGGATATGATGATGGTATGAGAATGATGATGATGATGGAGGTATGGGAATGTTGGTGATGATGATTATGTTTGATTAAAATGTTTGAGGTTGTGAATGATGTATGATATGTGTGATGTGAAAGTGTCGATGGTTGATTGATGTTTGATGATGGATGGGAGATGGAATGGTTCTGAGACCCGAACCATGCTACAGGCCGTCTCATGGTCGAGCCTCGTGGGACCGAACCTCGGACACTCCTTGACGAGATGCTCCATAGTTTGCGGAGCATCATCGTTGCAAGGGCATTTGTCGTCCGAGTTGATCCCGAACCGTTTGAGGTATGATTTGGAGTATGAATGACCGGTGAGAAGCTGGGTGAAATGAAAGTTTGGAGGGAAGGCCTGTATCACAAGCAGCAGCTCAGCGTAATTGCTGCACCACTGCTTGGTATACTGGCAATTGTCTGTCGCGTCGTATAAGTCCTCTAGTTCGGCTTTACTTAACTGCATGAAGTGATGTTTTATGTAGCTGAGGGGGAATTTGCAGAATGAGGGGGATGAATGGGAGTTGGCTGCTGATTTGGCCGCGAGGTCGGCCTCCTCATTGCCAGATATCCCGATGTGTGATCGGATCCAAATGAATGAAATGTTGATGTTGTGATGTTTGGCTAGTTGGAGTGATTTAAAGATGTTATTACAGAGATGATTGGTGCTATTATGATTGGACAGTTCCATCAGCGATGACTTGCTGTCCGTGAGGATGATTGCGGGTGACAGTTTTTTTGTGATGATGAGTTGGCATGCTTGGTCGATGGCGGCCATCTCCGCTTGGAACACCGAGCAGACATCATGCAGTTTGAGCTTCTTGCTCAGAACTGTAGAGCCGCTCGGGTTCCGGATGACGACCGCTGCACCGACCTTGCCGTGATGTTTACTCCCATCGGTGTAGCAAGTGAATGAGGTGGGGTCGAGAATGTGTGTGAGTTCCTCGGCAGAGTCGGCTTCCATAAAGGATATTCCCCTTCTCTGCCTAGGATGAAGGAGATCGGAAGGTGGAGTGGGTGAGTCGAGTGGAATGTCATGTGGCAGAATTCCGGCGACTCTGCGCACCCGAGCAAGCTCGGCCTGCGCAGCCGCCCGAACCCTGCCACATATGGGATGAAGACCGGCCAGGACGATAGCCGCGGGTGTGCTGATCGTCCTGAACCCTCTGATGATGGTGATAGCGAATGATCGTTGCAATGAGGTGAGTTTGTTTTGGCAGAGTTTGAATTTGAGCGCTGAGCTCCAAATTCCGGAAGCATAACAGATGATGGGTTCAATGACTTGATGGTAGATGGTTCTAATGTTTCCGGGGCTGACACCCCATGTGGAACGAATGAATTTGATGATTTTATGATATAGTTTTGTGCATTTTTCGATGGTGTGATTGACATGTTGGATGAAGGTGAGTTTGCGATCGATGATGACTCCGAGTAATTTGATATGATTATGAAATGGGATGACGTGACCGTCCATATGGATACGGCACTTACGGGCTTTATTGGTGAAGGTGATTGCGACAGTTTTGGATGGTCCGAATGAAAGTTTGGAATCCAAACCCCAGTTGTTAATTTGATGCAGAGCCTCATCCGCCGTCTCCTGCAGTCTGGACGCGCTTTTCGCCTGAACTATCAGGAGCACATCATCAGCGAATGCTTGAAGATGGCATCCTTCCGGAAGGCTCAGGTCGAAAAGCCCGTCCAGGACCAGGTTCCACATTGCCGGCCCACATACAGAACCCTGTATGCAACCTCTCGACAGTGGTTTGGCGGCTGAGGCATCTGCCAGATTTAATGAGACTGTTCTGTCCCTCAGATAGCTGGCCAGAACAGCGTAGACGTTTCTGGGGCAACCGATGAGTCTAAGTCTATTTAGGATGTTAGGCCACCAAGCGTGATCAAAGGCGGCTTTGATGTCAAGGGATACGGCTAGGACTTGGTAGCCGGATGTTGAGGCTGTTTAATTTTGCTGATGGCATTATCTAAAGCGTGTGCGGTGGAGACTTGGGGTTTGAAACCATATTGACGGGAGTTGTTGACGTTTGTGGTGTAGATGTGATGAGTGAGGCGTTGCATGACGAGTTTCTCCAATAGCTTTCCTAGGATGTTGAGGAGACCTATTGGTCTAGAGGTAAGGCTATTGGGATTGCTCTGTTGACCATTCTTTGGGATGAGTTTGATACGTGCTACCTTCCAAATCGTAGGGAAATGTCCTATCGCAAGGCATCTGTTCATGACGGCTGTGATTACTTCGGGAATGGATTCGACGACTGCAACAATGATGTCGGCGGTAAGGTGATCTGGTCCGGGAGCTTTTTTTGGATTGGATTCTTTAGCAGTTTGGAGGACTTCTTCTATGGTGAAAGGGGGTTCATTACGGGTATTGGGAGGGGGTAGATTTGATTGTATTTCTATTGTGCTCGCCCTTTTCAGAGTTCGCCCGTCAGGGACAAGAATTGAAGGATATTCTTAGGAGCGATCGTTTTTATCTCCTCGGGTCATATCAGGTCTTTTGAATGTGTTAATCCTGGCATTTCTTGCCAGTGATTCAGTGCTTCTCGTTTGGTTATTAATTTGAGATCTCCCAGTTTTAGGCAACGAGGCACACCACAGAAGGGTTCGGGGCCCAGTTGGACGGTTTTTGCCCCTAACTTTGCCAGATGGTCGGCATTCTCATTGCCTTCAATATTTGAATGCCCGGGGACCCATCTCAGTATAATATTATTTCTGCTTCCTACTTCATTTAGTAGCAGGATACAGTTTCTAATAAGTTTAGAACGGATTTCGTACGAGTTAAGTGCTAGTAGAGCAGCTTGACTGTCCGAATAAATGTATATGTTCTGATTGATGTAGTTGAGGCTTAGGATTACTTCCAGACATCTAATTAAGGCGTAAGTCTCTGCCTGAAAGATTGAGGCGTATTTTCCTAAGCCTATATAGTTGCAGATTTTGGGTTTACACCGCATATTCCACATCTACATCATCTCCTATTTTGGACCCGTCTGTAAACCAGACTAGGTCATGCTCTGAGTGAGTCGGTGTATGGTTATTTTGCCATTCGTCTCTTCCAGATATTTCGATTTTGTAATATTGTACAAAGTTACACTCTGGTGCCATGTTGTCTTCAGGCATTCCCAGAATAGGATCACTCATTATCGAGTCTTGTATAGTTTTTATGGCCAGGGAATGCCAAGATATCCTTCTTTGGGAACTTATTCTGAGCATATTGGCTTTCGCCTTTTCCTGTATAAATAAAGGAAGGGGCGTCAAGTCCAATAATGCGTCTAGAGTTGCTCCCGGCGTGGTGCTCATGGCTCCTGTAATAATCAGACAAGCAATTCTCTGTAGGCTGTTTAGCTTGGTGGCAGCTGTGGATTGGAGGGTTTTCCGCCACCAGATTGCGCAGGCATAGGTGGTAAGCGGTCTCACCACTGCTGTGTAAAGCCATAGGGCAATTTTGGGGTTAATTCCCCATCTGGGCCCCGCTACCCGTCGGCTTATTCCTAGGGATGTTTTCGTCTTTTGAGTTATGTTGTCTATGTGTGTGTTCCTTGTCAGTTTTTGGTCGAAGGTTACGCCCAGGTACTTGACTTCTTTGGAGCACTCTAATATTCTTCCATTTACTTTAGGCATGACAAGTTTGTCAAGTTTCTTCCTTTTTGTAAACGGAACAATTACTGTTTTATCAGGATTTACTGATAATTCATTTTCCTTACACCATTTAACTATGATGTTTAGTGCTCTTTGGATGCGGTCTGATATTGTTGTTGCACAGAACCCTCTGACCATGACTACTAAATCGTCTGCGTAGCCTTGTACCTCAAATTGGTTTTTGATCATAACATCTAAGAGCTGGTCTACCGTTAGTAGCCACAGCAGTGGCGATAAAACGCCTCCTTGAGGGCATCCTTTGGTAGGTCGGATTTCTAACGTTCGTGGTTTGGTACCCACGTGAAATTTTTAACCTATGTGTTAGGGAGGAAAGGGGATTGTTAGTAATGTGGTTTGATGTTATTGCTAACAATGTACCATGTCAAATTGACCTCCACGTGGTTCCCCCTGGAAATCATCCTGATAAATTCTTGGTGAATTTTCACAAAAACAACTTCATATTTACTGTAATAATAGAGTAAGCCAAGAAGGGCGTAACGTAAATATTAAGATACGGGAGAAATTTCATTTTTGAAAATATTGCTATTGCGCTTGAGTGAGGGTAGATCAGAGACTTTGAATAGAGATATGTAGGACTAAAAGGCGGGCGAGGACAGTGGACACTAGAAGCCCGAGTTAGGTTTTATGGAGCGAGTGAGTGAAAGAGTGACTGAATCTAACGATTTTAGTTGGAAGGCATGCTATAACTCAAAAAAGTATAAACCTAATATCTTCTAATAAAATATATCTGATAAAATACACACAAGTTGAAACCTATAAAAATCAATATTGACAATGCCATGAATAGACGAAGTAGTAGTAGAAGTAGTTTTTAAATGTGTTAGTACTTTTGATTCACAAATATTTATTGTAAAGTTTTGTAAGGTAGTTTGTAAGGTAGGTATTGAGTAGATGTAAAATGGAATAGAATAGAATAGAAAATCATTTATTCAAATAAACTTACATTGAAGCACTTTTGAATAGTCATTACATTTTTTAATCTACCACTCGGTCGGAAAGCTGTCTCATCACAAGAAGAACGAGCAAGAAACTTGCGTGTTGCTCTTTTAAATAATTTATTATTACTTTACATTTTTAAGTTTAAGTGTGTGAATACAAACCACCAATTAGCACTAATTCTATTAAATACTCAAATAGAAATAATATTGAATATATAACCAACTGGTTAAACAATTAATAAGAGGAAATCAGTCATAGTGATTAGAGCAGACCAGTCCCTACAAGCAGCACCCGTTCACGAGTATGACGGATGAGCCAGCCATCACTGCGCTCGACCATATTTTAGGAGCCCAATGACCCGGCCCACCACGCCGCCACAAGTCTGGACATTTTAGTGAGCATGACTACTCAAACACTAGACTACGTCAAAGCTACTTACAATTGCTATCTGATAGTTATAGTATTCACATTTTACATAAGAATGCATGCGGCAATCAATACAAAAACCGCTACGCTTTCATATTTCTAAAATCAATCAATTAAATCAAGAAAGCAATGAGAAAATTAAATTATAACGTTGTATGCTAATAAACTAGTTATTTACTTGATATGTTGTCGTCTATGAATTCGTCTATCCTGTAATAGGCTTTCTTACACAAAAATTGTTTAATATAGGATTTGAATTGCCTCTCTGTCAGATTTAGTGCAGATTCTGGCAGTTTATTATAAAATCTTACGCAATTACCATAGAATGAATTACTGACTTTATTACATTACCTATATTTTGCCAAGGCTTTCGAACTTTAAAATATTTAATTCGTATTTAAAAAAAATCTACTTTGAATTTCATCATGTAGGTAAAAATCTCATACAAATATGTATAAGGTGTTTCCCCTCCGATCGATCCCCCGTCCAATTCAAACGGGGATCAAAATACTGAGGTGAATTGGCTTAGAATCCTTAGCAGTGGAATGCTATCTGCACTCGTTCCCTATCGTCCGTTGAAGCTGTTGACAGGTCAGATGCGGCCAATAGCATTAGAGTTGTCCGAAAAAAAATATTTAAATGTCGTACCTAAGTTAGAGGCCATTAGAGGGTATTCAAGAAAAAAAATGAAATATTTAGAGCAAATTGTAGTCGTAATAAGACATTTTCATAGAATCTATAAGTATCTAGGTACTTAAGATATATGAAAAATTAAGTTTCAATTTCCTTGTAGTTCTGACTTCTCCGTCTGATCTTTGATAAGTAATATCATATTTGTTAAATAGATTTATCTACATCATCATCATCTGCTTCTTCCATATCACATTTATTTGGTACCTATTTACTTTGATTTTTAGCTTCAGTGAATATGGTATTATATATACATGGATATATATATAATACCATATTCACTGAAGCTAAAAATGCAAAGTAAAACGGTTGGATTGACCTGCGTTTTTTCACTTCTTTTTGCTTAGATTGTTCTTATTATGTGCATAATAATACAAAGAGGATATCGCTTTAAGTAATACGATGCTCAGTCTTATAGTACGATTTCTGCGTAGTAGACTTATATTTTGTTCAGATTGAGTTCGAATTATGTTAAAGTGTGTGAAATCAAAATTAAATAGCACTGTAATAAACAAAAAATATCTTACCATGAAATTAAGTGTACGGAATGTTGCTAATAAATTTCACAAAGAAGGTCAGATGCCTATTCGCCTTAAAGGATTCGATCAGATTCCTGGTCCTAAAAGTTATCCAATTTTGTACACTTTGTACAAATATTTACCATTTATTGGTAAGTAGAGTTTCTTTTCTTTTAATAATAAATTGAATTGATAACCAAGTTATAATGATATATTTTGGGCGATTACTTAAAATAACAACAATGTTTAGCTATTTATTTTCTCATCAAGGAACAGAGCCGTTTATAGCAAAGGAGCAGTGATATCGTAGAATAATAAATTGTTGTGCCTATTTATACCTTCGTAGACTTTATACAAAGCCGCTTGCTTGGATATGTCTCTTACATTTGCTTTATTTTGAAGTAAAACAACTGACTTTGTAAGCATACAGTTTAAGAAGCGTTATCTGCCGGTGAAATTAAACGGTACAGATATTACACAATGATAACGCACGAGGCACTATGTAATATTTGTAGTGCTATTCTATATCTGTGCTATTAATATTCTATATCTATGCTAGCACAAGCGATTGTTGCCACTTTCAGCCAAAAGACCCGTCAGCTTATTTGCCATTCCAGCGACATAAAAAAGGTATTCGAATAACTGGTTTCGCAGGCAGGAATTCTATATGATTTTGGACCCTGATGCTCCGTCCTCCCCATTTTATGCCATTAATAAAGATGGGATCACCCTCATATAAATAGGTATCACATGTTAATCACGGCCGACGGTTTTAAGTTTCCATTAAAGTATATGTAGATGTGCTTATCGGGGTTTCCAGGTACGTTGCTATGCAACAGATTTTATCTTTCGTTCCTAGATGATGTAGGTTTGTCTTTATTGTTTCGTGTGAAACAATAAATAATACTTTATAAAAATATTACAATAAAAATCCATATAAAAATGTGTTGACTTTACATGCATAAATAAATGGAAGGTAGAGAAAATATTAATAAAAAAAAAATACGTTCATAAATGGCTAAAATGTCTTACATGAACTTATGATTCTGGATTGAATTTGATTTTATTTGAAATAAAGAATAGTACTGGTTCTAGGTGATTATGACGCTGAAGCATTGGATAAAAACGCATGGTTCAACTGGACACGATATGGGGGATTAGTGCGAGAAGTACCAGGTGTTAATGTACTTCATGTATTTGAGCCTGATGATATCGAAGCGGTATTTAGACAGGACGATCGTTATCCAGCTAGAAGAAGTCATGTTGCAATGTTTCATTACCGTGTAAACAAACCGCAAGTCTACAATACAGGCGGGCTACTTTCGACGTAATATAATTCATAATAATTGTACCTAAATTTGTTTTCGACATTATTTATTGAGTTCAGCTTTTATTATGATATTGGAACCAAAACATATTACTCTGATATGTAAAAATATATCCCTTTTAAATACTTTTAATCTAATTCTTTTCAGTAATGGACCAGAATGGTGGAGGCTTAGAAGTACCTTTCAAAAAAATTTTACAGGACCGGAAAGTATTAAAAGCTATATCAAGACTACAGACTGTATAGTTAAAGAATTTATAAATTGGATAAAAAGGAGAAAAAGTATCTGCGAATGATGATTTTTTATACTATTTAAATAGACTTAATTTAGAAGGTGTGCCTAATATTATGAAATAGAGTCTTACTTGTAAAATATTAGAAATTATTTACCAAATCGTCATTTACTTACATACCATAGTGCAATTTCTGTAAGCAGTAGTAGGTATGTTATTTACATTTAGGTACCTAAGAGATAAGCGAGCAAAACCTGAGTATGACAAACATGAATTAAGGTATGTTAAGTCGTCTTTGACTACTAGGGACCAGAGAAAAATAAATAATTAACTATTTCTATTTATTTTACGACAGCTCATAATGTTAAATTTTATTTGTACTTCTACGAAATAACTTTTGTGTCAAAAATCAAGGTCATCAATCATCAATCATACAATTAGAATATAATATCGATTTTCATTATAATTTGTATAATTTTTAGTTATTGGTGCGGTAGCTTTCAATGAAAGGTTTCAAAGTTTTGCACCAAGTGAAGAATATACTAATTCTCGCAGTAGCAAAATTATAGCAGCTGCTTTTGGTTCAAATAGTGGTATTATGAAACTCGATAAAGGATTCTTATGGAAATTTTTTAACACGCCTTTGTATAAGAAACTAGTAGAATCCCAAGATTTCTTAGGAAAGTAAGTACTAAAGCAACTTATGTGGAAATTTATCAGATGCTTGCTATTTCAATTATATCTATTGTTAATACAATATATTATTTTTATTTTCTAGAGTATCGATGGAAATATTGCTAAAAAGGGTAAATTTTTCGATGCAAATGACATTGATTCCGACCAATCACTTCTAGCGTCTTTTCTTTTACAACCAAATCTAGATCTAAAAGATATAATTGGTATGATGGTCGATATTTTAATGGCAGCTATAGATACGGTAAATTTTAGTTTATTTTGCGGACATATTGTGTTATTTTCTTTCAGTGTTGATTAACTATCAATCTTATTTTTAGACTGCATATGCTACAAGTTTCGCTTTATACCACATATCACGAACTCCTAATTGCCAAGAAAAGTTGTATAATGAAATTTCATCGCTTCTTCCTGAAAAATATTCAGATATAACGCCAGAAATATTAACTAAAATGACCTATGTTAAAAGTACTGTAAAAGAAAGCATGAGACTAAATCCTGTCTCTATAGGTATAGGCCGTTTATTGCAGAAAGATATTGTAATAAAGGATTACTTGATTCCAAAAGGGGTATGTATATTATTTTCATGTTATGTTGAGTTTACAAAAGTACAATGCGACATATTATTGGGGAGATTTATTTTTGACAGTGTAGAATAAATTGAATGAAATATAGTTATATAAAATGAATTCTTAGAATTTATTAAAGATAATTATGGCTTATTTTCTTTCCAGACTGTCATTGTAACGCAGAATATGTTAGCATCTCGTTTGCCGCAATTTGTAAAAAACCCTTTGGAATTTAAACCAGAGCGGTGGTTGCGAGGATCACCGTATTATGAAAACTTACACCCATTTTTAACGTTGCCTTTTGGGTTTGGGCCAAGATCTTGTATAGCAAGAAGATTAGCTGAACAAAATATTTGCATAACGTTGATTAGGGTATATATTTGGATTTATTTATATGTCTAACGCAAAAGTTGTATACTTAATTATTTTTCATATTACCGATTTATTATATTTCATTTTAGGTTCTGCGTGAATTTGAATTAAAGTGGAGTGGACATGAACTTGGTATACAAACACATTTAATAAACAAACCTGATCAACCTGTGACATTATCTTTCATTAATAGATTAACTTGAACAGCGTTTGACTTTCCCTTATCACAACAATCGGTATAAATAAATAATATGTAATCAAACAACATTGTATTTTTAATTATTATATTTAAGCGAATTTGAATGATAGATTTAGAATAACGGGAGTCCTACGGGTTGTATAGGTATATAGGGAGAAGGAGCGGATATAATTGGTACATTACCTTCTACTTTCAAATTATGCTCGTTTAAAATATTTGGTAGAACCCTTTTCAAAATAATATTTTGTATGCATGTTGTTGGGAATGATATAAGTTCAGTTTTAGGTACAGAAGGAATTACAATTTTATCATCAATTGAAGGTAAATGAGGCGTAAATAGTCCTGATAAAAATGAAAGAATATTTTCTTTAGTAGACAAGACAGTTGATGACAGCGATGATTCTTTAGATAGAGTGGGCACTGCTATATGAGGTAATTCAGGCACTAAAATAGGCATATGTTCGGGTAAAAAACTAGGTATCGCTACTTCTACGGGTTCGTTTACAATATAAGGTATTGTATGAGGGGCTAGGGGTGGTAACAGTGGAGCAGCAGGTATTTCTACAGGTTTGATATTTTCTACATTTTCTTGAATGATAAGTGAAGTCTCGTCGTTAAACGCAGGCAAAGGAAGTTCAGGTAAACAATTAATCGACGATAAAGGGGTGTCCGGAATTACTGAAGGTTTTATATATTCGTGAATTTCTACTACTGGCTGGCTAGCTGACAATTCTGAACCTTGTGAAATATGTAGGGTTTCTTCAATTATCGCAGGTACATTAATTGGTGCATAGGGGGGTAACACCGGTGCTGGTGGAATATTTGTAGGGAAATTTACGTCGTTGAAATAATTAGGAGATGTATGTGTTATTTCATTGCTTTCACTAGCTTCAACAACCACAGTTGCAGGTAAAATTGGATTTAGTACTGATACAGGAACAGGAAGTTCAGGTAAAGTCAAAGGTGGCAGTTCAGGTGCAACGGGAATATTTGGCAATTTACTTAGGTCATCATTTTCTAATGATGATTGCGAAACCTCAAGAATGCATGGAACTTGAATTGGTTCTTCCATAATAACTGGAGCTGGAAGCTCAGGAATTGGAGACAGTGGAGGCAATATAGGAGCTTCTGGAATAAGCACAGAGTTATGCTCGTGCATTACATTCAATTCGGAAAGATCAATTTCAGAAACCGAAGAGGATTCGGGTATGACCTGTTCCAACACAAAATTAACTTCAGGTTTAATAATGGGCAATATGGGTGAAGCAGGAATATCTACACAATTATCTATCACATTATAATCTGGAACAACAATGGGAATTTCCGGCAAAGGTAGCGGTAGAGGTGGCAATACTGGAATTTCTGGCAAAGATGGCGGTAGAGGTGGCAATACTGGAATTTCCGGCAGAGGTAGGGGTAGAGGTGGCAATACTGGAATTTCCGGCAAAGATGGCGGTAGAGGTGGCAATACTGGAATTTCCGGAACAAGAACAGGCTTCATTTCTTGTACTATGTTGATGGAATCAGGAACAATTTCAACAAACCAGGTGGATCGTAAATTGGTCCCATTGGTTTATGATATATTGATGCTGGTTTTATATCTATTATTTCTTCTACGTGCGGCACAGGCAGATTACTTCCAGGCAAAGTTGTCTCTACAATTCTTAGAGGTTCGTCCAATACAATTTGCTCTGGAACAGTAGGCATAGATAAGGCAGGCACTAATGGTGGTGTGTTGCAATCGACCAGTGTTGGTTGTTGTACTATTCTTGGAGAGAGCAGAACTTGTGGTTTAAAAAAGACATTAGTTCCTTTTTGAATGAAGTTTGAGATAAAAGGTGACTGCCCTAATGGGCTAATTATCTCATCGGCATCATGTTTGTTCTTGGCTATGATGATTTCCGTGGGTACTTCGTATTTCAAAGGTTCGGCATTTGTTGCCCAAATACTTGTCCCTAAAAGGAATAAAAGAAGTTCTGTTCGTACCTGAAAATATAAATAAAATTTGATAATTCGAAACCTAAATCATTAGATAAATAACGAAGTATTAATATTATGTTATACCTACACTTTTTGTTATTAACTCCAGTATAACTATCTCTACTTCAACAGTTTTTTGTTATTACCACGGCAATAGTTAGCTAGTGCAGAATATTATCCTATATAGTAGTATATATTATGTTTGCCATTTATACAGTATATTATAGAGCATTTCATCATTATCGTTATTACATACTCGTAGTATGAAACAAAGTCGCTGTCGCTGTATGTCCGTCTTAATGTATGCTTAAATCTTTTAAACTACGAAACGGATTTTGAAGCGGTTTTTTTTAATAGATAGAGTGATTCAAACTGTAAAATATTAACTACTAGAGATTTATCAGTCAAGTCCACAAACGGGTACAAGTGCAGATATACACACATAGCTGTTTACACAATACTTTCAGTTGTACGATTCTAAATTCGTTGTTTATAATTAAAAAACAAACTATTGACTACTAACTACGTATATGTCTACGTTTTTTTATTATTTATTTATATACTCTTTTTTATCTCTTTTTTTTATATTATTTAACACTGTACATTTTTATTACTTATAATAATATCATTAAAAATTTATCTATGAAGTAAAATTTTCAGACTACAATATCACATTTTAAAAAAATATGTTCTGTCTATGTCGAAATTACATAGTAAAGTTTTTATATGTTCATTGTAATAATAGTACAATAGGATACAATTGAATTTACTATTAATAGAATTTTTTTAAATCGATAAATTATACGAGTATATTAAATTATTTAAATGTACTTTATATTAAAATTGTAATTAAATATATTTTCACTTACCATGATGCTTGTTCAATGTGTCTACAGGTGATTGATAATAGATTATGTTTTTTACAACAATATATACTTCCATGATTACTTAAAATAACTTGTTAATCAGGTAAAATCGTTTAGATTGGTAACAATAGTTGAAATTAAAACACGTTTATGTTGATAATTAAATTACCCGTACCATCAATGAATATATATTTAACGTATAAGCAGGGAAGACTCCAGTCTTACAAAAATTAATTAAATTTCCTATAAACAAAATCTGGAGATAAGATATTTGTTCAAAAAATGATTGATTCACATACAATACATAATTTGAATACAGGTAGCTACTTCGAAAAACGTTGTTAACATTCAAATATATCATAAGTACCTATACTGCTACAGCAATAACGATGACGACTGAATTTTGCTAGGTATATTGACTCTTTAGTTTAATGTTTTTCTTTGCCTTAGAGTTTCATCATTTCTTTTCAATAAAAGTTCATGTGCATAATTATAAAATAGAGTAGAACTTGACAAAAATGAAAGGAAGTGGAATGGAAACCCGAAATCTCCTTTTTTGTTGATGTGATAAGGAGGAGATAAGTATGGTGGTGAAGGAGGGGTGCGCGTCAAGATTTTCTTCTTCAGTTAGGGCTAGGGTGGGTAGCCATGGGGGTGGTCGTCGCCTCGTTAAGGACCAACGGGGATAGGCGCGTGTTCCCTTTTGTAGCAATACAATGAGAAGGGGTCTACATAGGCGGATCAGCGCCATCATGATCGTGGTAAACTGGGTTCCTGTAACTCTGGCTTGTGTTGGGTAAATCTTAGGATTTTTAGCCGTTTAGAGTTCCGCAGTGTTATTATGAATTCCCTGTCGATGGCGAGCTATGCAATACTATATATATATATACCGTAAAGTTATATATCTAAAATTACTGATGTTCTCGATTTGATATTTGGAATAGTTTTATATTGATTAGGGAAGGCGGCTTTTCTGCAGTTTAATTATAGTGAAAGTGTACTAATTCTTTAGGTACTACAAGAAAGGTAAGGTAAGGAAGTAGATACTAAGTTGGGACACTAAATTTCAAAATTGTCTGGCAAATTCAAATGTGTTGTTGAACGAAAGCGATTCATTTGTATGGGGTGTGTTATGATGTAGGATATCCATCTTAGATGGATAATTATTTATAACGGCACATGCATAGATAATCTACAGGAAAAATAAAATTGTTTTCTAATTGACACTACACAAACAAATATATAGGTAGTTTGGTGTAAGCCATTCCCACATTTATATTAATTTTTAAATAATTGGAATGGCAACACGAACAGCACTAAGGATATCATATTATCATGTGACATTCGTGTTACCACTCCTGCGTTGCCATTCTAGAGAACTAAGATGTCGAGCTTTTATGCTGAAATTTCACTGTGTTATCTATCTGTTGATCGAAAAATATCTTAAAAATAAGAGTATACATAAAGGCAGAAATATATGTGTTTTTATTATTTGTTTTTATCTCATATCTTTATTATCTTTATTACTTAATGGCTAAAAATAAATGGCTTGACTTGCATTTCTAATTCAAATTCAAAAATTATTTATTCATGTAGGATATATTAGACGTCAAATTTTTTACATTACCTACATTTTTAATTTTTTTTTACCGTTTAGTTCAGTATATAAATCATATTGAACATTTTATTATTATTTTTTAAAAACTAGTTTACTTACAATGTATATTTATGTAGGTGTCTATGTCTAACATTAAAAGAAAATATCGTGCATGATCAACTATTGCCATGCACGCTCGTTATTCAAGTAATCGTTTAGTGAGTACTATAGGCATTGCTCAGTAATTATTTTTGATTACTGATTTATTTACCAGTATATTCTTTAGTATATACCAGATATTGTAAATTTTTATACCTATTCCCATAAAAGACCTAGTGACTTTTTCTAAACGATACTTGGGGACAGCAAGTATATAGGCATATTCCCAACTATTCATAAAAATACGACTTTATAATATATGTAACGGCAATATTATATTGAAGGTGATAGGTTAATTTTAATAATATTGAATACTAGGATATTAGATATGTGATAATAATCTAGATAATTTGGATGTTCTCAACCGGATTTTTAAATAGTTATCAAGACAAACCTGTACACATGTAATTTAAGCAAAATTTTACGCAATTAAATACCTACGAGTCATATTCAATTTATCTATAATTGACAATTTAAAAAAAATGGTAGCCATAAATTAAATAACAATTTAATAATTATGTAATATACGTGTTTATTAAGTAGCAGTAATGAATAAGAGTATTATAGCATTCAGGTTTAGTGGTTTAATACCAATAGATCCTAAACAAAGTAAATGTTAATGTGACCGACACTGGAACTTTGTGTGTCATTTGTGACTCTCTGTTGTTGACAGACAATATGATCGTAGAATTAAAAATAAGTTGTAGGTAGTAAAATAATATGTGCATAAGGTAAAAGTAATTTATATGAACAAACACTTTTAACTTCGACATTTGGATTACTCATGAAAAGAGTAGACTCTCCTAATTGTCAAACTTGTGGTGGTATTGATGATGTTCAACATCTGTTGATGGAATGCGTCAAGAACAACACTGAAAAACTTCTACTAAAAAAAATAAATTTAAACAAAATTAATTTAGGAATATTTCAGAGTATTTTATCAGAACCTGCATCAAAAGAATCGGTATTAATTTATAAATTTGTAGATAAAAGTAGGTAAGATTTGTTTTTATAGTAATTTAAAGTTTAGATGTTATGTAATTGATTAAGAAGACAACACGGAGCTAACATGCTCACTATTGTGCTAAGCTCCTAAATAAATAAAGAGATATAAAAAAAAAACTTCGACATTCTTAAACCGATGGTCAAGGCTAATTGGGAAGGATATATTTGATCTAGATCTGGAGGAAATATTTGTCTAGCTTTTAAATGAATGAACATTTTACAACTACCCCGTCCGGAAATAGATCGTCAGTATACTCGTATGTTACTTTTATTCTAGAAGACCTGTACTTTGTCTGCGTTGAACAATGGGCATAGGTAAATATACATTATCTGAGATTACATTGTATGAGATATATATGACAGGCTATGTTCGTTCCCGTGACGCTTATAATCATATCATTCATTCATTAAGATCCGTTCAGTCGTCTATACGGGAAAAGGTAACAAATAGTTATACTTTTGCATTTGTAATTAATAGTATAGGCAAACTGTCTTAGAAAATCTAGATTGTATTTGAATAGTTATATTTAATAACAGTTACATATATTTAATAACCGTTTTATAAGATACCTATCACTGACCACAAATATGTTATCACATTCACACGATAAGATTTTAATATGTTTTAAATTGTGTCCATAATTAAGGATATATTAACATTTAGGATATAAGGACAGGAAAATATTTTGACCAGCAGTATTTTCATCACAGACGCTACTAAAACTACAATGGTAAGCAACGAAAATATTTCTTATTTTTTTTATAATACTGAGATAAATAATACAATGCAGCCTAACAATGCGAACAATAAAACATTACTGATATCGCTAACACTTTTATTACGACTCATAATAGGTATTGAATAGATTAAGCTCTAATATATCATACATTTCATAAATTTTATTTTACCTACTTTCATATAGTAGATATATTTTTGACATAGCCAACCTTTAGTTATCATATCATAATGATTATAATAGTAGCTCCAAAACATCGGAAGCCTCCAGAGACATAATCTCGGTAATATCTTGTTATGTATGTATGTATGTATGTATAACAAACTTATTAAGTATATTTATTAAACATAATATTTTTCTAGAATTGGGAGGCTAGCTGGTGGTGTAAACTAATAAAAATAACTATTTAAAGGGTCAAATATGTTTGCTTAGCATGGCGATTCATTTAAATAAAATTATTTATTAAAAATATACCTTAATATACCAATTATAATATGTGACTTTTAGTACCCAGCCGCTCGGCACTTTCTAACTACGAGAAATAAAGATTTAGAAGATTTATAAAGAACATCAACCTCTCGATAGATCAGTTTCAGGATGAGATGGGTTTAAACAATCGAAATTATTAATTTCCAGATGTTCCTGTTAGCTGTCCTGTTCATAGTCGGAAGAGGTTTAGCTTTGCCAACTAATCCAGGTCTAGATTTAGAAATACCTTCAGTTGAGCTTGTCGCGCCATTGGGATACAATGATGATGTTTTGCATACCAATTTACCCATAGTAGTAGATGATGAATTAAAGAGTCATGAAAAGGAAGAGAATGAACATAAAGAAGGAACTGTTATTCCAGAAGCGCCTGTATTGCCGCCTCTTGAGCTCGCAATTGTAGAGAATTCCGAGAAATCTAAGGAAGTAGAAGGTTATAAAGAAGAATCCGAACATCGTGAAGACGGACCCGAAGAGCCCAAAGATGAGCTTGAAGGGAATAAAGAGGAATCCGAACATCGTGACGACGGAGCTGAAGAGCCCAAAGAGGAGCTTGAAGGGAATAAAGAAGAATCCGAACATCGTGAAGACGAAGCTGAAGAACCCAAAGAGGAGCTTGAAGTGAATAAAGAGGGTGAAAATCACGAGGAGGAGAATAGGGAAGATGAAAAATCTACCGATTCTAAACCAGAAACTTCAAAAGAACCTACAATCCAGATTTGGTCTTTACTCCCATCACTTCCCTTCTCTTTTCCATCATTACCGATCTCTTTCCCTAACATCCACTTTCCATACTTTTCAACGATATTTTCCCGACCCAAAGCTAGTGAGAGTGACATTAGTAGATACCGTGAGTTATATATTCCTGTGGCATGGGAATGAAATAAGTTGTTATAAATATAACAGAGGATATTTATACTTTACGCAGTTCTTTGATAATATTTTGTTACAGTATTTAGAATTAACGATGTCTAATAAAAAATAAAACAATATATATTTATACTCAAACTAAGCAAACCCTGTACTATGGATACTATACACAGCTGTCTTATATTTAAAATTATAGTAGGTAGTTATTAGTTAACACAATATTAAGTCAGTTAGTTATTTTTATGTATTTCTTAGCAAGACGTTTTTATTTATGTAGATGTATGTGTATGGAAGAGCGTCGTGGCCTAATAGTTTACTACCCAAAATTAGACCCAAGACATTGTGACAATAAATCTGGCTGATACTGGGTCTCCAATGAATTCGAGAGATGGCCTTACGCTCGCCCCATCCATTTGTATTCAAATATACCGAGTGAAAAGTGGGCAAATCAACATTGACAATTAACACAAAGGTATAAAGTATAATAAATATAGCATTGCACTACTCCATTTGGGGTAACAGTCGTGACGCTGTGATATGTTTTAAGTATATGTATGTGGTTTACATTGGCTGAAAGGAAAAGTTAATATCTATCTCTTTCGCTGTGTAGATTTTTACGAGAAATAAGATCTATAAGCATACATAATGTACACGATTGCATAAATAAAGGTGACATCATTGTAATAAAGCCATATCTATTTTATCCTTTATTAGATTTGTAAATTAATTACTCTCATAACTGTACTTAACAATAATAAATATTTATAATAAAAAGTACAAGAGGATATTAAATATTAATTTTTGATTAATATCAAAAGACAAATAAAAGCCCTTTTTAAAAAAATATCTCTGTTCTCGTTTATTATTCCTTCTTATAAGTGTAAAATTTAAAATTCAATATCTAAGTCATTTTCCAAAGTCGTCACCAGACCATGGGGATAAAGTAGGCACAGATGATGGTGGTTGACCGTGCTTTGTAGATACTCGATCTTGAGGTGTATTTAATTTGCTTTTATTAGGCCAATCAAACTTATGGTTACCTCTTGATAAAAAAGGCAAGTCATTTGAAGCGTCCCTACGTTGTTGGTCGGAATGAGGAACCTGTTCGTATTGATTATTATTAGGCATAATACCATGTTTTGCCCATTGGAACGCAGGAGCCTGTGTGGGTTTTACAGTTTGTAAGTTTGGTTGATAGTACTGATCGTAATTTGCGTTGGAAGAATAATATGACGGCTGTTGTTCTTGGTATGTTCCAGATAGATCCATCCATTTTGGTGTGGATGGCGGTGGTGGTAAACTCGCAGGTAAATGATTGTTTATAATTTGGTTCCAATTTTGATCGTCATAAGGTTTAGCTATTGTTTTTGTTAACTGTTGATTATCACGAGGCATAGGTACTTGCTTCCGTTGAAAATCCGAAAAATGTTCTGGGTAATTGTTAATGCTAGTCACTATGGGTGTAGCATGAGTTGTGGTAGATTTTTTGTTCATGTATTTTCCCATGTCTTCATCTCGTATATCCACGTGAGCAGGTTGATCATTTCGTAGGTGTTCAAAGTTATAATACAAATTAGACGGCCTACGTAAATCTCTATTATACATGTTTTCCATTTGATTATTTACGTTGTCATCTTGTCTATAGTCATTAGAAAGTTGTGCGATTGCTGATGAGGTAAACAGCAAAACAATTGTAAGCGGTATCATTTTTCTGTAAAGATTATAAAACGATTATTATCATGATTAGAAAAACATTTCTGTCAAAAACCTATTAGTACTAAAATTCTTTACCGAATAATTTATATAACTATTATACAATCTAGACGAGAATTACTTCGGTTTCGACAAAAAAGATGAAAATCAGTGAATACACCAATTGCTTCACAGTAAATATATAACTATTTATAACATTATCAGTTTTGAAATCAGCTCAGCCCAGAAATAATCCGTATTTATAAACACAGAAATTGTCTAAATGAAATGATTGTCTTACCTTGCTTACTGCTAAATCAAACTAACCTAAATTGGCTGTATGTAGAGCTATATAAAGATTTGAGTTAGGGAGAAATTGTATTAAAACAAGTATTATAAGATAATTTACTCTAATTAAGGTAATTACTTAATTATAATTACAATTCAATGGATTCCGAATATATTACATAAATGTAATAAATAATAAATACAAAAAATTGTTAACAAACATTTATTTTCACGAATTTATATTAGTCAACATAGATATATTTTGAAATATAATATATAGAAGGAGTATACTTAATTATAAATAGAGAATATTGAGATAATTATACTATTAAAGATATTATTTTAATTCTAAATTAAGACCCATTAGTCACTGCAACAAGTTGACATTAAAATATTGCAAATGTAATATCGATTAATAGCAAATTATTAGCAGTGACAAATATCACACACCCAGGATAAGAAAATAATATACACTTATATAACAATTGAAACATGTTGAAATTAATAACCTAGTTCATAGAAACTTTAAATAAAATGATAGTGACACAGTTCAAGGGTAAACGTTACATAGCAGTTCTTCTTCTTGAAAGTAAATAAATAAAAATATTACAAGAAAATAAAATATATTGTTAACATCTGTTTTATTACATATTTTGCGAGATAAATCCCCTGTATAATACTATATTTCAATATTAGAGTATCATCATTTCAACATTCACTGCTGTAGGTATATAGGCCTTTCTCTTTATTTCTATTCTTTCTTTTGCTGCACATGCAGAAGACAAAAAAATATATAAGTACCTACCATACAACATATGATTTAGTACAATACTTATATTTTTGGTATTAAAGCACTTACCTAAGCCTACATGATTTTTTGACTCTGTGTTGTGCCTTATATAAAATACCTACATTTTATTGGGCTTATCGCGAAAAAGACTCGTAATAGCTTTTCTGCTTTTATGGTGTATCTATGTAGGCGAAAATACGGTGAGACTACAAAAGGTAATGCATAATAAGTTCATTGACCTTGTATTTAAATTATCATCAATGTCCATATTTGTTTTAAACATATAATACAAAAATATATAGATTGACGTCTGCCTTGCTGTTTTTTGCCTATAGATTACATTTCAATATTTTCTTAGAAATTATAATTTATTGATAACATAGACAATTACAGTATAATGGCACTGAGATTATTAATTAATTAAGTACCTACATTTAAATAATACACCTACCTAAATGTTAAAGATATGAATATACTCGTATAACATATTATCTAAATAAGCATCGTTTGTTCTAAATATGCTAAACAAAGTACTCAATGTAAAATTAAGTAGTGGCTAAGAATTCGCATCGTTCGAGTAAATAAATCGTTATGTCTCCTATAATACATTCGCATGAACTAGCAATACTGATTAATAAATTATTAGGTAACTTCAATTTTAACACTATTGTAGATAATAACAATAATTCTACAGATAATTTATATCAATCTATGGGCCGTGGATCATAAGGAGTGGCATCATGTCCAACATATCTGTTGTTTTTACGAATTTGAAAGCCTTCGCCGGGAGCAGTGTTGTAATATATGACGCGGCGAATACCAAACGGATCTATGTAACCGAAGCTTCCAGTTCGGTCATGGGAGCTCCCCGTTTCTTCTTCATGGTACTGTTTGGGTAAATAATATCTAAAGCCGTTTTGTCTGAAGGCGATTCCGTCATATTGAGGGAATTGAGGTGTATATCCATCGCCAAGTCTAACTTTAGGTCGTTGTCTTCTTAACCAGTCATCGGCATGTCTATATGAATTGGGATTAAACACATCAAATCGTCTGTATGGTGTACTGTCACTTGCAAAATAACCATCATCAATTGTGTTAGTATTTGAAGAGTCGTAATCGTAAGGAATGGAAGACGGTGAAGCTTCTGCAGCAGTAATTGGTGGCACAGTAGGCCTAAAATTAAACGGAGTAGAAGATATATCAATTGAGTTAGGAGATACAGTAACGTGGGGCAATGGCGTGGAGGTTGGATATGATGGAGGTGGAGGAGTGACTGAGACTTCAGAAGGAAAAGAGTGGGGTGGTGATAATGTGGATGAAAGTTGGAAAGGTACTGGCGTGGTAGAACTGACACGAGCTTGATTTAATGAAGATGCTGGTGTCACGCCGTAACCAGAGTCTGTAGGGGCCGTTTTAGCAATTTTCAAGGATTCCTGGAACATATAGTTGTAAATTTGTAATATATTGCAAGGATCAATAATATGTCTTAAAAATAATATTTAATTATAATTCTTTCACTTCAAATATAACGTGATTTACATAATCAGTTCGTGCAGGACACTGATTATATTTCAAGCTGTAATAATTAATGTAAACGTATATTAACTCAAACGAATCTAAAAATACCGGATTTCATTCCGAATAATCAGTCCTTTTAATTTAGAAAATGCACTTCCTCAATTATTTACAAATTACTTTGAAATTTGAACTATGAGAGTACATTTGGAGATTATTTTTTATTGACTATGCACTGTTGGTTTATTTTGGTAAAGTAAATAAGTTGGTGATGTAGGAAGTACCTGTTTATATGAACTAGTCATATAAAGAGGTATTTGCTACCTTAACGGTTCACATTATAAAAAGTCGGTAATGTCATCTATCATGGAATGCAGAAAGAAAAATAAGTAACTTACTCCTATTGGTCTATTTTGACCAACATAAACTGTTTTGGACTTGTAAATTCGGTAGCCTTCATGATCCGCTATATAGTCCTGGAGACGCAGGTATCCGTCGGCGCCTACCCATCCTGTTGTACCTGCAATGTTATTAGTTAACAAGTCTTAGTTAGAATATTGATGATTGTTAATGTAGGTTCTATAATAATATCTTATTAAGTAGGTATATAATATTCAACTCAAATGGATATTACATAGAATTTAATTACAGAATTTAATTTCCTGTCAAAAGTCATTAATTCTTGTTATTAATTTAACTTTTATATTACGTTAACACTTTAAACACTATATAGCTTGAGCACAGTTTGACAAATCGACATCGAATAGGGAATAAAGATTGTCGACTATGCAAAGGCATACGCAGTGTAGAACAATGTTCACAAGATCTTAAAAATATGGCAGTGAGTCAAGGATACTGATGGCTCATGACTACTTTGTGGTCTAATAAGCTGAATAGTCTAAATGTATCAGCGATCGAGTTACTTGGAATTATTTAGCTCTAATGATAATTGTTATAAATATAGATATAAGTACTAGCCGAGTCCACAAACGTTGTTATGCCATATGAATTAAAATCGCTAATAAAAAATTGGGGTTGGTAAAAGAATAGTGAAAATGTAAAAAATCGATCAAGCCTTTTCGGAGGATTATGGTAACAAATATTGTGATACCAGATTTTATATGTAAGATAACGGATAATATTCCAAATGTAATGACGGATAACGTACCAACGACGGATCCATCTTTGAGTCTTCTCTCTTTCCGATACTGTCCATTATGAGTTTGGTAGAGAAAATACCGTTCATCGTCCTCGTCTGTTTGTATGTGGAACTGGTCGGGATCTTGCTGCGGGCTATACCCGTCTAACGCTGCCAAGGCCCCACACACCCACACCTAGAAAAGATAAATCAGAGAATATAACGACTGATATAGTTTAATACAATTTGAAGGTTAGAAAGGAGTCGTTGCATCATTGTTATTCGATGAAACTAATGGGGTTTATCTAGTTTCTAGGTTGATTAGAATTACCGGATATTTGTGATAATATGGACCCTTTCTTGCTTTCGTCTCATCTCTCATATTTTACACATAGTCTGTACGGGACTGGTGATTATGAGACTTAAGAAAATTAACGTACGCAAATACTAACTACTAATAGTTTCTACATACATCTTTTATGTATATAGAAACTGTTTGTAGTGCTATTCTCGATGTCAATCTCATAAAGACTCTGGCGTGAAGATACTCTACTTCTGCTATAATGCAGCTTTATTTAATATGTAAGATGTGCTAGATTAGAGAGATTGGTAGTATAATCATTCGATATTGTATCTCAACAGATATTTTGGTAAATATGATTATTTCTATATGGCTACATTATTTTGTTTTTGCCTTTTAAGTGTGTCTTTATCTCACTTGTCTGAAAATAAAAGTTAGTTAAAGAAATAAATAGATTTCCGGAAGAATTGGCAAGGTGATCTAGTACGTATGGCACTCATAGGCTATATTGAATATAAATAAAGACTGCCGTATGATCACAATTACAATCATTGTTTTTACATTATTGAAATTATCGTTTTGGCTATGTGCATTCATGAATTAAAAACTAAGTTTATTTTGTTACTAATATATAACATAACATAATGTTTGTAATATAATTTATAATTGAGGCGAATGTGTTGAATATTGAATATTTTTCATAAAGTCCAACACATGAATCAATGGTTATGTTAAAGAGTTCCCTTCTTATTGCGCAATGTAATTTCAGTACCTCCATATTTAATAGTTAGGTTTACACAAGGTTTGCAGTAGTCGATTAGTATACTCTGTTACACTCTTTAGAATCATAAATTGTTAGTTGGCTGAGTGTGGGAGTTAGGATTGTAAGTAATAATGTATTAGTAGTAGTGTCAAGGACTACGTCAATTGACTAATTGTTAATGTGCATTTGGATTTACACTGACTGCATGACTACTAACAATAATTGCTGTATTGTAAAATACAGCGAACAGTGTAAACACTTGTAACTAGTCAGATTAATATAATTTAGCTACTTATTACATAATCAGTTTAAAACATTACAGGTAATTTATATCACATTTTTAAAAGACTTTTACCAAGAGAATTTGCGATTACAGGTTGGTTCCGCTTATTAGACCTTAATAAATATAGATAAATAGAAAATTTAATTTCATCATACAACATATACACTTCATTTATTATATACATTTACTAATATTTCATAGCTTTTCTTTATTTTTAACCTAAATAAAAATAATTTAACTTTAGTAGATTCATAACATGATTTAATGCCGAGATACAGTGTAAAACATTTTATATAACGTTTTCGTGTAATAAATCATATACTAGTTTCATTCACTTAACCTCTTAGTATAATTTTTTTGGTAATACATCCACAAATGAATAAATTATTACATAAATTAATTTATTGGCGTTCAGTAATATCTTATTTATCCATTATTTACATGTAAGGACCCTTATAGTATTTTAAATAGTTTTAAAATACTATAAGGGTCCTTTTAATTGATGATTTCGTTAAGGCGATAATTCAATAATTCATTAGTATTGCGACTCTTATTATTCTGATATGCATTGTTTTTATTGAGATGTCAGTGTTGTCTCGATGTGCAGCATCCGTAAAATCGGGCAGTCGTTTGTGAGAAACAATGGATTTGCCACGAATTAGAGACGGATTCAGTAATTTGCTGAACAATAGATGCCAACCGAGCCCTGAAGGCCGGGATGTAGCAACAAAAACTCACAGGTCTATTAATATGTAAGAAATACAAGGAAAGTCAACAAAACTATGCAACAAACGCTTTAAATAATATTTAGTTATTTTGTTACGCTTATTCAAGAAGGTCTTTGAAATGAATATAAAAAATAATTGTGGTGAACACTCTCACTCCTTTGAATTACATATAAAAGATTTAACGTTTATGGATTTAACAAAAATTGCAATAGGCATAATTTACCTAAAATGCTATTTATATTGATTGACGTTAGCTAATCAATACATTCAGGAAGTAAATAAAAACAGAATAATTATAATTTATTATTACTTCAACCTTATTCATGGTAGCCTCATGGAATGATAAATATTAAAAGGCCTACGACATACTGCCGTTACCTCGGGATGATACGTGGGCAGACCACAAAGGACCTACGCGGAAACATTCTCACGCATGTTAGATTAGGCACAGACATGATAACAAAAAACCTAAATCCATACGTTTCTAGTTGTTTGAACGTTGCGAAAACTTACGTCTTCAAGTGATTACTTCCGTGACTTAAGATATTGTTTTTTTTTCACGAGGAAACTCAGACAGTGCTGATTTCAAAATCACGTTTGACTAACTGAGGTGCAAGTACAACAGCAATTTACATGCCAATGGAGATATCCTTTTGTTTTGTTGTTACAACGCGCGTCATTTTAGTATTAACGAGATTTGAATACAATTTGATTAGTCAAGCTGTTCACGCACAAAATCAGTCACGACGCTTCGATGATTCGGTTTGATGAATGAGGTAATATTATATTTCCGCCCCTTTACTAGTACGAATTATCAAAACATAGATACACTAATTGAGGAATAATAATTATTTATTGTAAAGTTTGTAAAGGTTTATTACTTATTTATGAAAATTTCATTATCAACTATAGATCTTCTGCATGGCTATCGTAGCCTCACCTATTTTAGGAGCAGCTAGGCGCAATACGAGGCATGACATCTTCCCATCTAGGTCTCCGATATGTTAAAGCAAGAGGTATCACTGGTATCATAACAATGTGATGATTGTAGTTGTATTCATGTATATAGGCGACGGTTATGTATTTGTAAATGTTTTCAATTAAATACATATAAATAGCTATAAGAGAACGTAACTTAATATTGAGACAGGTAACTTTTTATTTTTATGCTATAGACAAAAGCCATCGGCTCAATACTACTTATACTATGCTGTGTTAAGTATTGGGTGTGCTTACCCAATAAAATTATTAATCATATTGTAAATAGGTAATTTGTAATGCGTCCGGCCATATTTAACATCTGTTATTAGCAGGAAATAAAATAAATGCAGTATTCATTTGTGAAATGTTAATTGTAATGGTGATATGTCAATATCTATTTTCACATTATACAGGCCACAGGGCATGTGTGATACTTTTATAAATTTATATAATATTTTTGATAAACATTGAGTATACTATGAATATCAATCACAGAGCCAAAGTGATGATGTTCAAATCTGTTTTAAATAGTGAATATTATTTGCCAAAATAATTTGGATCTCCATTACTAAAAGTAACTCTGCAAATTGATCTAGAGTGTTTAGTATTACGAGTACATATTAATTATGTAGTTTAATGTACTTTAGATTAATGAATATTACCGAAAAATATAATATACAGTAAGTAATCGAAAGGTTAATATTAAATTAAAATCGTACGGTATGGCCAATTTTTTATCGTTTGTCTCTTTGTACGTCAAATAGAAAGATCAGGGGTCAAAACAAGAATTTCACATAACAATAATTCCTTGTCATGACAAATTCACAAATTTAGAAAACATTACTAATGGGAAAGATAACTGCTAGTCAAATTGTATACTCTAGCCTTAAACGGAATATTTTAAAATTGACAAAATAAAGTTGCTCTAACAGGAAATACTAAAATGGCTTACTAATGGTTTACTCATAAAATGGGTGACGATGAACAAGTTAACAAAAACAAATAAAAAAATTTGGTAAAAACAAACTTTGTTGTTAGAAAAACGATAGTCGGTCTGACAGTTTAATTAATATAATAAACAACTAACGCATATTATTAATTAAATTTAGAATATCTTCTCATCTGCTCAATGAAAAAGAATTTATAGTAGCTAATTCCATGACTTGACCTAAGGTAGATTTTGAGTGCAATAATCGAACTATTTAATACACAGCCATATAATAATTATAATTCAGGATAATTTACATAATAAGCAACGCTTTTTTATGTGTAGGTACTGGATATAAATACTTGATTTTTTAATACATACATAATATACATAAAAATTACCCAGACCTATACAAACAATCATACTCATGAATACAAATGTTTGCATCGAGCAACGAATCGAACCCGCAGCTTATTGAATAGAACCATAAAGCAAGCATTTTGCTAGTAGGTGTATACAATTTAGTATATTTATACCTTGTAAATGAAAATGCAGAAGTGCAGAGGGCACTGCAAACCCGTGGGATGGTTTATGAAGCGGCTGAAGGCCCAGATCTATCAGATGAATACGTTTAAAGTAATAGTAATGTAGTTGATTACAGAACCACTGTGTAAGTATACTACTTTAATTTTAATTATTTGTTTCTTAAAAAGTAACACCTTTTTAAAAATAAATAATATAATTTTGTACCAGTAAATTAGTCTTTTCTATGCGATTTGACATCAATAGATTGAAAACAAAACTTTAAAATGTATAAAGAACATTAGGTATGCTACTCGCTGCCATTTAAGATCTGTACAAAAATAGGAAATTAACGACTTTCAACTTTTTGAGTTCATTGGCTTTTTATTTGATATTTATGTATGGGATATTTTTAACTTTAATGAACAGTAATATGAGTAGATGGTGACAATATATTTATTTATATATAATACTTTATTGCAACAACATTAAAAAGAGATACAAGTAAAAATACTAGAAATTGAAACCAGAAACAAGTACAAAAGGACGTCTTATTGATTATTATTAATTTCATTATTTTGTCCAGACAACCTTGGAAAGAGAGTATGACTAAAAATTAATAATTTGGCGGCACATGAGATGATAAGTAGACAAAATAATAAGTACTACTAAAAATTATGTAAATAAATA